TTAAATCTAACCACTGGTAATTCACTTATGTTCAAGAGGCACTCCACTATTTTTTTTACAAATGAAGGTCAATTGCTTGTGAATACAAGAAATTGAATTATGTGTCCGTGGCGGAGGTTGAAGTGCACCTATCATTTAGGCATATATTATGGGTCTCTGATAAAAAAAATATAAAAACATATCTATGATGAGTTTTGCTCAAAATACAAACAGATCATTCATTTTAGACATCCCTCATAGATGTGGGTAGAGGAAAAGAGAAAGGATTTTATTTTCTGACGCTGCGCGAGTTCCCCGACACACCGGGGACACATATTTATGTATAAAAGACATCAAAAAGTGCATTTTGCATGATAGGTCCCCTTTAAAGTCAGAGAGAAATCCTTTTCTCCCTGCTGTATTTGTCATTTCATCATGCTCATTGTATGATTAAGTCAAGCCACATGAATACAAAATGCAACTCTTTGTTTGACTATAGCACATTGGTTTATATCACTTTTCAGTTCTCCCATTTTAATCGAAGTATTTTAAACAGGCAGTGACGTGCGGTGAGGTTCATGGTTGGTGAGGCACTGACTTTTTCAGAGTCAGATTTACAAATATTATATTTTGACCTTAATCGAAATATTCGGTTATTTTCAAAAGCTTTTTTAGTCTGATGCTTCGATTCATTTTAAACAGACCGTTCAACAAAAGGATACCCAAAATCTAAATATTGGATTGTTCTTTCTTAGTAAGATCCCATTTTCATTACAATTGGGGTCTTACCTTGACTTGAAGATGAAGTCCATGCTATCCTTCTGGACAACAATCTCTATTACTTTTTTGTAAAAGTCCTCCTTATCTTCCTCTAGTTTCAAAAGTCTAGTTTGTTGTTTGCGTCTACCGTCTATGCGTAGAATAACAGTAGCAACAAGAACCTGTGGGCTCACTTGCGCCCCCTTCAGTGCGGCAGAGGTTATGGCTGCCTCCCCTGGTGCTTTTTTCATTGCCGTTGTATGATGAGACCAGCGAGCCTAAATATCATATATACGTGAAATAAGTTATTTAGAGACTATGGATGGCGAGGGTAAATGTAATAAAGGGATCTACAAACATTACATTGGTGACCTACAGTGAGATGGTGCAGGCATGCGCTTAGGGCCCGCTTTCCAGCCAGTTTCTGTGGGGTGACGCATTCTGAGGTGAGGCAGATCTCATCTGTGCCTCACCTCACCCCACAGTAACTGGCTTGAGCGCGCTCACAAAATAAGTGCCTGTGTTAAATTAGTGCCCGCGCTCCAGCCAGTTACTGTGGGCTTACGAGCTATACATCCATGCTTACGAGCTATTATACATCCATGCTTACGTGAGGCAGAGCTCGTCCCACCTCACTTCTCATCGCTACCCGTAGTTGTAGCGGAGCTCGGCAAATTTGCTGATTTTGACTATAAAAAGCGATTGGAATCATACATAAATCACATTTACAACACAGATCAGTGGAGACATTTTATTATTATTACTATTTAGTTTTTCTTTAGTTGTTTTTCCGTTACATTGGAGTATGACAGGTGAGGCTCTGCCTCCTCTGACTGCACGTCGCTGTAAACAGGACACCATTTTCTACATACGAAATGTTGCTTGAAAAGAGATACAAGTCTTGGAGGATGTGCTGCAAAAGTTTCCACTAAAAATGAGCACGTAACTTAGTGCTAAAATTCAACAAAGTTCTTATACCGATTCTTTCTCTAGTTAGGTGTTAGTTGTGGCTGCTCAGAAGCATATTATAGTATACCTGGTTCTTCACAGGAGTCACAACATTGCCCTTCATCCTCCAGTCCACAAACTCAGGGTAAGGACCAGCCATGCTGAGATGACCCCCTGTGGTAGCTGAGCAGTTCTACAACAGGCCCGAAAACCAAACATTACTATCAAAAGTAAATGTAAAAAAGTAAGTGTGTTCAAAATAATAATATATATATATATATATATATATATATATATATATATATATATATATACGGTATCAAACCTGAGGCTCTGTCAGAAGGAACAATTTCCTGAATTCCTCAAATGTCATGTCTGAGAACTGATTCAGGCCCACTAGATTGGAAAATGAACAACATTGTGAGAAGATTAATGCTTTTTATAACTTTAGAAAATATGACATGTTTAAAGGAGACTGTAAACTCTTTGTTAATAATCTATACATTAGAGATGTAATACAGGGGTTAGTGCAGAACCGTACCGTACTTGTAAATGAGTGATTCCCAGCATTATGATGCTCAATCTCCCTCTTATTCTCAGTGAATATCTGGAGCCGGTGGTAGTACTCCTCAGTGGCATACACCTTGTTGTGCTGCACATCAAAAAAAAGTAACAGCATATACAGAAGACCTTTCATAAAACTTCTTATCAAAGCATTCAAAAAAATTTTTTTGACTGTAAAGTCAATATTTTAACTAACACTGTAATAATGTACATACCTGTGACATCCATAGTTTGAATGGATATTCATCTGATAAGACACAGAATACAGTTGTTAAAGTTAATAAATCAGCCTAATAATAAACATTTCAAATGTTCAAATTAAATTCAGGCCTAAAACCATTCATGTTCATGTTCCCTAAATGTGCAAACACAAAAAACTGTTTTAACATGAGAGTTTTTCTAATGCCACATACTTAAAGTATGATAATCTTATTAAAATATAATGCATTGATCTAGATTTTAAATAACAAACCAAACATTAAAGAGTTAAGTCAACAAGTAGTCAAAGTAAGCAAATATACAAATAATAGTAAAACATAACATTGAAAAATGATGGGCTACACGTCAATGTATGAGTAATAACTAGACTTTCACATAATCCTATAGTATGAAGCTAATTATGGGCCTTTTTTCCCCCCATTATCAGTTAATTTAGCCTACTTTTGATACTTTAAGTACATTTTTACTAATGCATGATTGTAGTGTGGAAGTTTTACTACTTGAGTAAAGGAGATGAGAACATTTTGCACCATGACGAAAACATATGTAGCTATATCATAATGTTGCCATTAATATTGTGGCTACATTGAGTTGAAGCTGCCTGGTGACAACACTTGTTTAGTTCTCTGCCTTTAAATTAGTCTCAAGGTCTCAACGATATGCTACTGTAAGCGAAAACCACCAACAGTTCTGCAACAACACACACGAATAGTAAAACACGTAAAACTTAGTAAACAGTTAACTTACCTGCGGGTAAAATTAATGGTGTTAAATGAACTAGACTTAAAAAGGTTGTTATAAACCAAACAACACCGAGCGCCATACTTCCCCCTGTTTACTCCAAGCACTGGAGGAGAAAGCGTCACATGAGTCAGCTTAATTTCCGTGTAACACCCCCTTCCTTTGTCCCCCCTTTGACTCCCCCCTGTAAAGCTGCAAACACAGCGTTATGGGTTGGAAAGGTATTCAGATTGGCCTACTTTACTTGAGTAAAAATACTAATACCACACTGTACTACATTTTAAGTAAACGTACTTCATCGAGAATGGCACTTAAGTAAAAGTATTTAAGTACGACTAGGAAAATGCACTAAAAGTAAAAGTACTCAATTGCAACAACAACAAAAAAATGTATTTAAATATTTTAAAGCATAAGCAGCTAATCTTACCATTTAAGAAGCTCAAACTGCTTTATTACTTGAATATAATGTTAATGATTTAATCTTTAACAAATAATCAGACTTCACAAGTTCTTCTTGTTGTGTGTCAAAATATGAATGTATAAGGTAATTAAATAAATCGGTAAAATTGTAGTTAAAGGTGGGGTAGGTAATTTTGGAGAAACCAGCTGCGCTAGAATTTGAAAATACACAGCCGAAAAAAATCTGCCACTTCCTTACAGAGCCCCTCCTCCAACACACACGAACGCGCACATGACCAATGAGGGCACGAGATAAGTTTGTGCACAGATGGAAGGCTGACAGGTAGGTAGGCCATCCAGTTACTTTAGCCGGGCCGGCTCAGATGATTGGTCGTGCTTTTTACAGCGCTACGGCTTCCACAGATGACATTGTTGTATGGATTTGTTGTCAAAGTACTTAAGATATTCATTGCTATCAGGATGTTAAGAGCATTCCATGGAATATAACAAAAAGTGTATCTCGAGCCGGTTTCTCAAACTTACCTACCCCACCTTTAACTACAATTTCACAGATGTATTTAATTACCTTATACATTCATATTTTGACACGTAAAATGTACAAAATTAGCTTCCAAAATACAGTAGAGCCAAAGCAGTATAAATTAAAAATACTCGGTTAAAGTACAAGTGCCTCAATGTGTACATTACTTTAGTACATTTACTTTACTTCCCACCACCGTTTAGTTTAGTACACGTTTAGTGTATATATATATATACAGTCTATGACTACACCTCAGTTTCAAATCGCCCAGGACTGAAATCGTAAGGATTACACAACTTTGATGTAATTGTAATGTAGCTAGTGGATTGGCAGATATTTGTATTATTATTAAAATTGCACTTGAGGAAAAGCAATATGTTTGTATGGGGACTTGTTTAAAGACAACTGCACTTATGTTTCTCTCTTTGACTTTGACACCTGAGCAAAAGTGGGAGTTTATCATCATGTGTCAAATGTGACCATCATCTCTCATAAACGAGACAATAGGATATGACTAAATATATTTTCTGTATATACTCTCATCTGTTTATTCTGTGGTTGAAAATAAATGTATCATAAAATGGTTTTCAAGACAAGAAATAACATAAATACTCTGTAACTATATAAATAAAAACCTCTCTGGGCTTCTACTCAGTCTCTAATAACGATTATACAAAACAAGTCCATTGGGGAGCACATACTAGAAGAGCACAGCCTACTGTGTATAATACAAATAATAGTTTATGTACATTATGAAATTGTTCCTGTACACTTCACACTCGCTGCTTGTGGTGGGAATTTATTTTATCAAATGTGGATAGAGAATCAAACCATTCAGTTGTCTTTGCCGTATTTTATTTCTTGCAAGAAAGTTCAGTCAGTCATACAGAGAGCATACAGTATGCAGAGTGAAAGACAAAGAATAGAGTTTGGGTTGCATAAACACAGAGAGAGGAGAAAGGGAGGGGTTGAGTTTGGTGATAACAAAGGTGCATTCTGGGAGTTAGGGAGGCCATATCAGGAAGTTCTCAGTTAAACTGAGTTGAAGGTCATACTGTTGGTATAACTAACAACACTGCAACAAATCTTCTTATTAAGGAATTTTCCCAAGCTTAGCTAAGAAGTGTGAGAAGTAGTAAATATAGATAAACATTAGCAAATTCGAATCACACTATGACATTATTAAAGTAAGTAAGTGAGTATGATATTTTTATATTACACTGCATCACCGCCTGGTACTGCATTGGCACTGCCTTTATCTGTAAAGCATCAAAGAGGGTGATGAAAACTGCTCAGCACATCACCAGGATATAGATGCCACCCATGGAGGAAGTCCACACCGAGCGGTGCAGGAAGAAGGCCAACAGGATTATCAGAGACCCCAACCCACCCAGTCCCCCACCCTGAAGATAAGGATCAGTTTCATCCAACAGCCTTTTTTAACTCTTGAGCTCATTACTACTGTCAATGTACCTTTATATACTTTTATTTAGTTTATTCATGTTGAATTGTGTTGTATTGTAACTTCTGCGACTTATTATACGTCTTACAATCCCATTATTCTAAAATTGTCTTTGCGAATGTAGAGTTCTAATATGATGTTCTTTGCCAATGTCTCTGTAATTGTTGTGCATATCATAATAACTTAAATGTGATCCATAGGAGGGGTGGGGGTGTGCGATCCTCTTCATGCTGAAGTTTTGGGCTCGATTCTCAGAGATGCATCATACAGGCTCTCCTCATCCAGTGTCGTACTGCTGTCCAGCAGGTACTTTGCAACCTAAAGTAATAATAACCACAGCAAAAACTTAAATTAGAGTCCAAAGATATCAAACATATCGGGGAATCAACAGAGATGCAAGCTGAACACTCTTAAAATGCATTCTAACTCAAATATTATAAATGTGATCAATATAACTTAGTAGACATTATTATTCTTCGTCAAAGACAATCACTAGTATTCAAAGATATACATCATCCCCTGTATTTTGTGGCAAGCGCCTTCTACTTGAAACCACTTTGCTAGCATTACATTGAAAACGTTTATATACATTTGCGGATTTTAGAAATGGATTAAACTGGAGCTGGCCACAATATTGAGTTCTGAAAGGTACTAACTAAAATAGACTATTAGTCAAATAAAAACATATTGAAATTGACATCAAATAATGTCTCCGAACACATAATCAAAACCTGAAAAATAATAAAATACACAATGAAAAGATACAGACAAAATTAACCTCTCAAAAATAGACCAGTTGAGCAGTTCTACAACAGGCCCGAAAACCAAATTATCAAAAGTACATGTAAAAAGCAACGTGGTGTTTTAAAATATATATATATACAGTATATACATATTATACCTGATCACACAGGTGTGATTTGCTGAATTCCTCAAATGTTGTGTCTGAATAGTGATTCAGACCCACTAGATTGGAAAATGAACAACATTGTGAAAAGATTGATGGTTTTTATAACCTTGTAAAATATTGTATAACATGTTTAAAGGAGAGCTGACAGTGTAAACTCTGTTTTAATAATCTATACATTACAGATTGTAATACAGGGGTTAGTGCAAAATTGTACCATACTTGTAAATGAGTGATTCCCAGCATTATGATGCTCAATCTCCCTCTTATTCTCATTGAATATCTGGAGCCGGTGGTAGTACTCCTCCTCAGTAGCATACACCTTCTTGTGCTGCACATCAACAAAAAAGTGACAGCATGTATGGAAGACCTTTCAAAAAAACTTCTTATCAAAGCATTACAAATAAAACTATTTATATGAGACTGTATAGTCTATATTTTAAATAACACTGTAATGATGTACATACCTTTGACATCCATCGTTTGAATTGATGTTCATCTGATAAAACACAGAATACAGTAGTTAAGATAATAAAGCAGCTTAATAATAAACATTTCAAACGTTCAAATTAAATTCAGGCCTAAAACCATTCATGCTCAGGGAAATGTAACTCACTCAATAAATGTACTCACAAAAAAAACTTGTGCTTAACTTACTTTAACCCTATTAGAAGTTACACATTTTACTCCACTGCTTCAACATGAGTTTTTGTAATGCCAAAGAATAATTCTCCTTACTCCTAAGATATTTGACCTTTCGGCCTGTTGACGTTTTACGACGAAGCCGAAGTCTGTTATCTGTCTTAAGGATGGGAACTGTCAACTATTGCTGACATTATGAGTTTTATGACCGGTCAACTCTCGGTCACAAGGCAAGGCAAGTTTATTTATATAGCACTTTTCAACACAAGGCAATTCAAAGTGCTTTACAAAAAATGAAAGAGATTAAGAAAATGGCATTTAAAATCAGTCATTAAAAAGAAAAGCTAATAAAATAAACATTAAAAGAAAAAATACATGGATAAAAGTTACAGTGCTGTCAATTAAACATTAAAAGAAAAAATACATGGATAAAAGTTACAGTGCAGTCAATTAAACATTAAAAGAAAAAAAGTACATGAATAAAAGTTACAGTGCAGTCTAAGATATGAATAGTTCAATTAAAAGCAGCGACAAAAAGAAAAGTCTTCAGCCTGGATTTAAAAGTAGTCAGAGTTGCAGCGGACCTGCAGGTTTCTGGGAGTTTGTTCCAGATATTTGGAGCATAATAACTGAACGCTGCTTCTCCATGTTTAGTTCTGACTCTGGGGACAGAAAGCTGACCAGTCCCTGAAGACCTGAGAGATCTGGATGGTTCATAATTTAGCAGGAGGTCAGAAATGTATTTTGGGCCTAAACCATTCAGTGCTTTATAAACCAGCAGCAGTATTTTGAAATCTATTATTTGACACACAGGAAGCCAGTGTAAAGACTTCAGAACTAGAGTGATGTGATCCACTTTCTTAGTGTTAGTGAGGACTCGAGCAGCAGCGTTCTGAATTAGCTGCAGCTTTCTAATAGATTTTTTAGTGAGACCTGTGAAGACACCATTGCAGTAGTCGAGTCTACTGAAGATAAAAGCATGGACAAGTTTTTCCAAATCCTGCTGTGACATTAGTCTTTTAATCCTAGATATATTCTTTAGGTGATAGTAGGCTGATTTAGTAACAGTTTTAATGTGACTGTTGAAACTCAGGTCAGAGTCCATGACTACACCTAGATTTCTGGCTTTATCTGTTGTTTTGAACATTGCACACTGAAGCTCAGTGCTAACTTTTATACGTTCTGACTTGGCTCCAAAAACCATTACCTTAGTTTTATCTGTGTTTAATTGGAGATAGTTCTGACACATCCAGTCATTGATTTGTTCAATGCACTTACTCAGTGTTTGAATTGGAGCATAGTCTCCTGGTGAAATTGTTACGTAAATTTGTGTGTCATCTGCATAGCTATGGTAACTTATTTTGTTGTTTTTCATTATCTGAGCCAGTGGTAGCATGTAGATGTTAAAGAGAAGAGGCCCCAAGATGGAGCCTTGAGGAACCCCACCTCATATTTGTCAACTCAGATGTGTATTTACCTATAGAAACAAAGTTGTTTCTGTCCTTTAAGTAGGATTCAAACCAATTTAGAACTGTTTCCGAAAGTCCCACCCAGTTTTCCAGTCGGTCTAGTAATATGCTGTGGTCAACAGTGTCAAACGCAGCACTGAGATCTAATAATACTAACACTGAAGTTCTGCCACTGTCTGTGTTTAAGTGGATGTCATTAAAGACCTTTACAAGAGCAGTCTCAGTGCTGTGGTTTGGACGAAAGCCTGACTGGAACACATCGAAACAGTTATTTAAATGCAAGAAATTACTCAACTGTTGAAAAACAACTTTTTCAATGATTTTACCTAGAAATGGGAGGTTTGATATGGGCCTGTAATTGTTCATTACTGAAGCATCTAGATTATTCTTTTTTAAGAGCGGTTTAATGACTGCAGTTTTCAGGTCCTGTGGAAAAATACCTGAGTGAAGAGATTTGTTTACTATATGAAGTAGATCTGAGGCCATGCAAGGCAAAACATCTTTAAAAAATCCTGTTGGAATAATATCAAGGCAGCAGGAGGAGGATTTCAGAAGTTGTATAATGTCCTCTAGGTTTTTATCATTAATCTGATGGAATTGTGTCATGGTGTTTGAATTGATGTTAAGTGGAGATAGGGACAACACATTTGCTGTTCCTGATGCAGAGGCACTGACTGCTTGTCTGATTTTCTGAATTTTGTCAGTGAAAAAGGAGGCAAAATCATTGCACGCCCTGGTGGATAGAAATTCAGAGGCTACTGACACTGGGGGGTTAGTTAGTCTGTCGACGGTAGCAAACAAGGCAAGTGCGTTGTTTTTGTTTTTGGTAATGATGTCAGAGAAGAACGATTGTCGTCGTTTTTCCATTCCAAATTATAAAGGCCAAGTCTCTCTTTATAGATTTCAAAGTGAACCTGGAGATTTGTTTTTTGCCACCTGTGTTCAGCTTTTCGACATTCTCTTTTTTCTGTTTTCACGCTCATGGCCTTTCTCCATGGAGATATTTTCTTGCCAGACACTTCTTTTACCTTAGTTGGACCAATGGCATCTATAACATTTTTAATTTTTGAATTAAAATGATCTACTAGCTCATTTACTGAGATGTTAGCAGGGGCAAGTGTGGAAGAAAAATTCTGAGTAAACATTTCCCTAGTATTTTCAGTTAAATATCGCTTTGTGGTTACCTCTTTTTGAACATTTTTGTGAACAGAAATAGAGCTCTCAAAGAAAACACAGGAATGATCAGAGAGTGCAACATCAGTCACCACAACCTTAGAGATATTCAGACCCTTTGAGATAATTAAGTCCAGAGTGTGCCCCTTATTGTGCGTGGGCTCCGTCACATGCTGAGTCAGTCCATAGCTATCAAGAACACAAAACAGTTCTTTTGCCCCTCTGTCCTGGGGGTTGTCAACATGGATGTTAAAATCACCAACAATGACTAGACGGTCAAAGTCAATACACACTATAGACAGCAGTTCAGTAAAGTCATCAAAAAAGCTTGCACAGTATTTGGGTGGTCTATAGATATTTAGGAACAGAGCTCGAGAGGAGCATTTCAGCTGAAGGGCCACATATTCAAAATAATCAAAGTTTCCATACGATGTCTTCCTGCATTGAAGGGAATTATTGAACAGAATAGCAACTCCACCCCCTTTCTTATGCATTCTTTCCTGACTCATAAAACTAAAGTTGGGAGGGGTTGATTCGATAAGAACAGCTGCACTGTTATTTTGTTCAATCCAAGTTTCTGTTAAAAACATAAAATCGAGATTGTGCTCAGTGATAAAATCATTGATTACAAATGTTTTTCTTGCCAAAGACCTGACATTTAATAAAGCTAGTTTAAGTTTGTTAAACACACTATCAGTCATGTTTTTTGTAACAAGCTGTGGCTGACATGGAATCACTGCTAAATTAGATAAACTCACAAACGTTTGAGCGCTTCCCGTTTCTAAGATGATTCACCGCTCTTAATCTATTACCTATCAACACAGATATCGGCAAAGCTATAGGCAGGCAGGGCCCCGGCATGTCCTGGAAAGAGTTGAGAGTGCCATACGCCCTTGAGCCTGGACCCAGCAAATATCAGTTTGCAGCGTTTAGTACACACACATCCTTATCAGGCTTCGGAGACTGCAGATGCCCTCTCGAAGGGAGGGGAGGCGGCCGACGCAGGCACGGTGATGGAGACGTGGGAGATGGTGTGGGGGTAGAAGACATGCTGCCAGGGGGGGAGGTGGTTGACGTAGGCACGGTGATGAAGACGGGGGAGATGGTGCACGTCTCTGCGGTGATTTTGGTGGGCGTCGTTGAGGAGTGGGGGTAAAGGACATGGTGCCAGCCCTGCGTATCGCCTTAGTTTGGTCTTTGAACTCCAGGAAGGAATCGGTGCCAACCTTCTGTATCTCCTTCATGTGTTCAACGATCCCCAGGAGGGTGAAAGGGTGAACGGAGTATCCTCAAAGGCGTTGACAGGGGGGGGGGGGGTGACGGGCAGTGGAGACTCCTCCATGTGTCTCCCATAATCAGAACATTCCTCAGGCGGGTGCAGTGATAATTCTTCAGGGTTTTCTGCGCGATGTGTTGTGTCTTTCTCCTGTTTTGATTCCTCTTGCCGCTTGTCCTTGGCAGAGGGAACAGATTGATAACGCAGGCAGTTGAATATGTTAGAGATAAACAATTTCACTCCTGACTTGTTCAGGCAAACTCCATTTGCCTTGAAAATATGTCTGCGATCCCAGAAAAAGTTAAAATTGTCAATAAAATGAACAGAATGGTCAGTACAGACAGTTAAAAGCCAGGTATTCAGTGCAAACAATCTGCTGAATCTCTCCACTCCTCTTCTGACTGGTGGTAGAGGGCCACTGATGAACACCTCTGCATTTAGAGAGCTGGCAGTTTCCAACTTTTTACTTTTGGAGTAGCTATTGGTCCTTACCCTGCTGCGTGAAGAGGACAGGTTATCCAGGTCATCAGATCTCCGGTTCTCGGTCAGCGGAGCGTATCTGTTCTGGATTGGCACACTTGGTGGTTTAGGAGGATCGTTTGTAATTCTCCCTTTAGCAGCTGTCCACTGCTGTTTCCTAGTATGAATAGGGGTTGAAGAGGCGCTCTTCCTGGGTGATAACAATGCAGGCCAGCCGGTCGCATCACAGATTTCAGAGCGCTGGGCTCTGCATGTTATCCGTCCTCCCAAATCCCATGGAAATGATTTACTCTTAGGCTTTTTACCCAGAGAGTTCCAGGGAGGACTACCACTTGTAGATTTATTACCCGGTACACAGCCCTCCTGTTCCTTGGAATCCTTGTAGCTGCTAACTAGCTATGAGTTAGCATACCCTTCTCCATTATTTTGCAACACTGGTAAAGTGGTGTCATTCCCATG